CGGAACTTTGGGCGCGGAAGCTGAAGCAGGTCCCCACCGCCCCCCGGCGCCGCCGCACGACACGTACTCCAGGTAGGAGCTCATGGTCCCGGCCCTCCCACCTGAGCGCGCCGTCCCGGGCTGGGCTGCGGGCCCACAGGACCGCCGGGCTCCGCGCCGCGCCTCCTTTCCTCTCTACCCGAGATGCCCTCGCGAAGCCATGGCGAGCGAGCCCGAGGTCCATAGTGGCCTAATATAGCGGCCGGGGTGGCCACGTGGCGCCGGCCGGCCAATGGGCGCCTGCCCCGCACGGCCCGGACTCCACGCGCCTAGCCCAGCGCCAACTTTGCCGAACCTGCGGGAGGCCGCCACCCAGTGGCCCCCCGCGGGGGGTAGAGCCGCACGGCCCGGGCGCGGCCAGGGGAAGGGCTGGGGGAGGCAGGCAGGACGGGCCTCTCGGGTGAGGGCGGGAGGACGGAGGGGGCGAGAACTTGCCTGGGTCGTGGGTGGCTAGTCGCTCAGGTGCAGGTTGTGAGCGTCGCGGTGTGGAAGGGGTTAACAGGGAGCACGGAGCTCGGCCGGTGGGCACTGCTCCTAGCCTTTCTCCAGGGAAGGTAGTTACTCCTCTTCCTCGTTTCCCTGAGACCTCTGCGTTTTTGGTTTTCTTGGCATTAATGTTCCTTCTCTCCTAAACCTGGAGCGGAAGTTTAATGTCCCCCGCCCCCTTTCTCCGACTTAATTACGGAACTAAATTTTATGCTGTAGGTGCTGGATACCTGGGGAGGCATCTCACTGTCAGACTCGATTCTCAGGTCACTTAGCAGCAGTCCCTCCAGCTTCTTCACTCCTTCCATTTGTGGGGGCCTAAGGGCCACTGTTGGAGTGACACGTTTTGATTCGGACAGAAGATAAAGTTTCTGCCTTGTTCGGAAGTTTGGCTGATTCCCCCCCCCCCCCCCCACTAGGTTGTTAAAATAAAGAATGTGCCCTTGTGATGGAGCGATGGTTGTGCTCCTGTCTGAGAGGTTGGCACACGCACTGGTGCTGGGCCCCCTTTCTCCCAGGCACTTGGCTCAAGGGCGCAGAGGCTTCCCAGGGACGGGTCAGATCTCAAAGGTTTGGACAGGCTTGTACCTCGAAGCAATTAAAGCTTCTGTTCCATCAGATAAGTGCTGCGTCGTCTCCTGCGAGTGAAATCTGAGGGCTTACAATGTTAATGGGCTCACGTCTTTCCCTTGATAATATGGTTGTGTTTACTGAGTGTAGAGAGACGGGAAATAAAAGCGCAGTTGGCACAGGAAATGAAGAGTAGAAGGGTTACAAAGACACGATTTACATTGACAAACTTTCCAACTTCCTTGAATATTTCTTTTAATATTTCCCTCTTTGTGGCTGTAGGAAAATAACAAATTAAACCAATAGATGTTATTTACACACAGCAGTAATGAAAGAGAGTGGTTTCCTAAAACTCTGTGAATAAAGAGTCTACTCTTGGCTTTTCAAGTGCCCTTGAGCACTTGATCTATTACAGCCTCTGAGTTATGGTGACGGAGGTTTTATTATTGTTTTACTGATCTACTTGTCATGAAAGAGCCATTGAGCCCTTGCCTAAAATTGCACTCTGAGGAAGTCTGGAATATAGGAGCCACCACAGTCTAGGGAGCCAGTTCCTTACAGGGATGTGAACTTGTGAATAAACAAAGCCACACCAAAAGTGTTACTGCTGGTGAGGCTGAAGTTGAGCCAAGATGGGGGAGGGTTGAGCCTTCATGCAGAGGGGGTAGATAGAGAGGAACCAGCACAGAGCTAAGGGAGTCGGGGATTCCTGCACTGCTGGAGTGCTTGGATTTCACTGGGAAATAGAATCCTATGCTGAACTTGATCCCTTCAAACTTGATGTTGCTACTTCAGTTTTCTCCTGTAGCCAATCAAATGACAAAGGTCCTAGCTAGTTTTTTTTTTTTTAAAAAGAAAAATAAGAGCTTTTCTCTAGCACCCTGGTCAGGAAATGATAGAGCTCTTCAGAGCTAACTCAGGCTTCAAATGCAGATGCATTTCTTCACTGTCCTCCCTCTGCACCTTTAATGCGAAAGTATCAGCAAATCACATGCTGCTGAGTTCATAGAGGGTTCTCTGGCTAGACTCTTAATAGCCAGTTTTTAGCAACATAATGTCCCAGCTCTTACACTCCTATCTCAAAACCATAAGGCCCTCTCTCAAAAGGTATGACAACGCATAGGCCCAGAGGCCCCAGGGGGTCAAAAAGGAAGGGGTGGCCTTATAAACCTCTCTGAAGATGTGCTGCTGGCTGCAACCCAGGATGTAGGACAGAAAACCTACCCTGGCTGTCCGGCAAGTCTGACCAAAATCTATCCAATGTAGAGCCCTTACTCTAAGCTTTCGGGAAAAACAAGCAGCCTAGGTGCCTTAGCAACCTTCATTGCAACAAGGACCAGGTTTTTATTGCTAAGAACTTGGGGCAAAAGTTGGGTCCTTCCTATCACAATTAAACATTGACTTTGATGCACTAATGAGCTGTCCACACTATTTCACTGAAGCAAGATTTTGGAGATTGAGCTTTCGCTGAGAGAAGAGTATCCTAAAAACAGAATGAGATTTTTAAAAATTGAGTTGTTTTGTTTTCACAGCTGTGGGTGAGGTTGTTCACTATTTGTTCAGACTCCCTGCTAATTGCATGTAGGGGGATACATTCTGTTCATCCTTCCCTCTACCCCCTTTAATCTCCCAGAGTTTGGCATATCCTACCCTTTGGGGTTCAGAATTGTCATCTCCACTCCTGGACTGGTTCTTGACTTGCTCAGGTTAGCAGTCAAGACTCTGATCATTTCAGCCTCAAATTCAACCAACATTTGCGAAGGACCTACTATGTTAGAATATTTTGTTAGGGGAAGGTTAGGCTGGGGGAAAATATTCACAAACCAAAGGACCAAAGGATTCATTCCTGACACAGGTCTTAGCTGTATTATAAATCTACTCCAGAAGAATCTGTGTCTATGGTTTCTAAGGAGAAATTGGAAGGTAATATTGGGGGCAGTGTATGTAGAAAGATGTGAATATAGGGTATGGTTATATTTGTGTTTTTGTTTTTGTTTTTTTGTTTTTTAGAGGGGGGGGGAGAAAGGATAGAAGGGGGGGAGAGACGGGGTCGGGGGGAGGAAGAGGATGGGAGGGAAAGGGAGAAATACCTCAATCAGTTGCCCAAACTGGGATCAAACCCTCAACCCAGGTGTGTGCCCTGACTGGGAATGGAACCTTCGACCTTCTGATGCATGAGACAACACTCCAACCAACTGAGCCACACTGGCCAGGGAAATACAGGGTAATTTGAGTAACTTTAAAGTTTGTTTCCTAGATGTTTACAGGGTATGGGAGAAATGTCTTACTGATTTTATTGTTTGTTCAAGTCATGAATTCCCTAGGGTCACTTGCCCTGCTGGGTCCTGGTGCTGATTCTCAGCAGGAAGTATAGCAGAGGGTCCTGATTGCCAGGTTCTGTTTGAAGTAGGAATGCTTTGAAATCTTTCCCATCCTGCTCACCACAGCAGCCACCCCTGCCCAACCCACATGACTACTTTTCTCTCCCATTGGAACAAAGGACAAGCTTTTTTCAGCAGACAGAAGTGATGGAGGGTGGCAGTCTGGTCTTCTGTGTGTTTACAGTTGTTTCTAAGAAGCCTCTTGGCGACCCCTCTCCACAAGCCCCACCATGTTATTCCTTGGAGACACTTGAGCACATGCAAACTGTTGGCTCCATAGCCCCAAAGCATAGAAAGACTCTTGCTTTTGGGGGTAAAAGGATGGGGGCTTTTCCTGGTGTGGAGATGGGGATGAAAGAGATCCTAAGGACAGAAATTCTAAACCTATCAGGAGTCTGATAACATGACCCTCCCCCTGGAAAGCGGTTTAGAGTTCTGTGCCATTCCCTGAGAGCTTTGTGAATGAAAGGCTCATGGGTCAAGCTTGTGCCTAGCACACAGTAGGACTTCAGTAAGTGTTTGTTGGACAGAAATGAAGAATAGACAGAATGGTCTTCACAATGACTAATACTAGCTAAAGGATAGCCTTAGATTATTTGCTTCCAAAACCACTTCAGATGGGTAGGAATCAGCATAGAAGCTTGTTTAAAAATACAGGTCCCTTGGCCCACCCCCAGAGATTTTATTCTAATAGGTCTGATTCAGGAGTATATGTATGTTTTAATAAACCTCTTGGGTGGTTCTAAAGTAAGGTTTTTTGGAACCACGCTTGGGAGAATTTCTGCTTTAGGAGCCGGGTTGAGGGAGCTGTGTGGGGAGAGAAAGGTTATTCTGTGAGAGGGGCTCTGGAACCAGCAAGATGAGAACTCATGGCTAGTTGGAGTCTGAGTGGACCGGAAAAGTGTCCAGTAGCATGTTGGATAGAAGAGACAGAGAGGTCAATGTCAAGGTCAAATTTAAGTCTAATTGGGCTGAAGTTCCAGAAAATATCCTTAAGAAGTAGCCAGTAGGAGTTTCCCAAGTTTTACTGACAAAGTAGTGCTTTGTAGGTTGGGCTCACTTCTGCTCCTTGCCACTCCTAACTTGGCTTTGATGATGCCAATGAGGCAGGAAGTGAAAGGGATTTGCATCTGCTAATCTCTTCAGAGAAAATTTAGATTGGTTCTGAGGCAGTGGGAAGAGGGGAGGAGTGGGAATGGGGGTCTCAAGACAGTCGAGCCAACCCTCATTTCTTTCCACCTCTCCCAAGTTGTCTGGAATGAGCATTTGAGCCTCAGGGATCCAGATGGGATGAAATGTCCCTTGGGCCTAAGCTGTAACTCCTTCTCTGGCTAAAGACTGACCTTTCACAGCACAAGAGGTCCATGTTAGACGGCCTCGAGAAAGAAATGACATCGAACCCCTCATTTTAGAGAGAAAATCACTTTAGTCAGAGGTTAACAGGCAAAGCCAGCCTGCAGAAATGAGGGAACCAACATGGGTCTCTGACTCTCCACATTCTGTTGCCTCTTCACAGTCTGCAACAGGGAGTAAGGCAGCCCCTCCTCTGCACTGTGGTGGCCTTGGTGCTGAGCAAGCAGCACAGTGATCAAGGAGGCGCCCTCATTTCTGGAAGACCACACAGCCCATGTAGCTGACTGGGAGGCCTACTGCCCTCCCTTTGCTAAACGTGTGCTACAACTGCAAGAGAGGGCAGTGATGGACCTGGGTCTCCACCTACTCCATCGCCAAGCAAGGGTAAAGGATC